CACAGTTCCTGCTTTGGCCTGGTGTCAGTAGTGCGCGGTGACCACCGCCGTTGCAATGGTTTTCAGGAGGCTGCGTGAGCGCTGGGTTAATATTTATCCACAGCCCTGCGACGGTTAAGGGCCGGGAACGTCCATCAGCTGTTTATGACCCAGACTTGTTTCCCGGTTGGCTTGGAAATGGCAGCACAAAGGAAACCCGAGGAGCCAGCAGCTGATGACAGGGGCCGGTGTAACTGATAGGGTAGGAGCGAGAAGGCCAAGCGGCGTGCACGTTTCCTGGCCCGGGCGCAGCGTCTCTGCTTCCCTTCCGGGGGGGGACGGAGGGAGGGCAGCAGCAGCAGCAGCAGCAGCTCCTCTTCTCCGGAGCCTGGCTGGGCTTTGGCTTCGGGGACGCGGACCCGCTCAACGTCGCCGCTCGCTCGCTCGCTCGCTCGCTCGGGGACGAGGGGGAAGGACCGCTCCTGCCTCCCCCGTGTAAAACGGGCGCAGCCTCTGTTATTCAAACGGCTGTGAAGACAAGCAGCCTCAGGCCGTCCCCGCGCTTCGGGATGAGTTAGGAAACAACTCAGCACCCAGGATCTGGCTGGTGGTTGAAAGTGCCGTGACGCGCAGAGGAGTCCCCTTCCCTCACGTCTTCCGCCTCCGCCCCGCGTTAGAGGCCTTGCCTCCGGGAGCCGAGGGAGACGTCTGTCCAGCCTCCCGTTCCTGCCCAGCCGAGCTCTCTCCCTCTCCCTCTCCCTCTCCCTCTCCCTCTCCCTCTCCCTCAGAGCAGTCGGCCACTGCTCTTGTCCGGGAGGGAAACAGGCCCGCTCAGCCCTGCTTCCTCTCTTTGGCACCCTCCAGAGGAGCCCTTCGTTGCTCTGCTAGGCCTCCGAGCGCCTTGCCAGGCTGGAAATCCATCGTGGTGCTTCTGTCTGGGGCAGTGCTTGGTTGACACTGCTGGGATGCCACAGAAGCAGGGCCGTTTTCTCTGGTGCTCCAGCAGCCATCCGGGTCTGGAAAGGTAATCTGAGTGGGTGTGTTTTTTCAGGAAGGCTTTGTGGTGCTTCCTCTCGGGCACTTGTTGGGAACCCTTAGCGTGCTTAGGACTCCTCCGCTTTCTATAGATGATGCAGCCTTGTAGTATAGTGATCTCGAGCAAGTGGCTCCGGCCCGTTTGGCAGCAGAGCACTAGCATCTGTTCCGACGTTTCCTGCACTGGCTGTCTTTGGAAGATACATTAAACCCTAAGTTTTTTTTTCTTGCAGCTAGCTCTAACCAGCTTGCCAGGCATGGACACACATCGTGGTCCACTGCAGTTAACATGATGTCGGAGGACAAGGGGAGAGCGATTGGGATTTGCTTCCGTTTGTTCATCCTGTAAAACTGGTTTGATGTGATACCTGAATTTAGCCACTCTCTTCCGGAAGTGAATGTTTTATCCAAGTGAACAACCTTCCTCGCGTATATGTGCTCTTGGAGATGAGTGTCGTGTGGATCGCAATAATTGTCCTGGAGAACAGTGATTTTGGCGACAATTCAGTCCTTGGATCTCTGTTGCTCATTTTCACACTGATGCCTGTAAAGGCTGCCACACTGGCTCCCAGAAGATGAGTCCCTCAAACTATGCTACCGGAAGCAGAAAAGTCTCTCTCTTTTCACCTGTAGGGAAATGGAGTCCTGAATGCGCCCCATTCCTGTCTAGGCAGTTGGCCTTTTTCTGTCTGCTGTCTGCTTGTTCTCCTGGGAGCAAAGCATGAGTCTTCTGGGCAAGGAGTTGTGCTCTTGGCTCCTGCAGACTTTGATAATAAGAGGCGTGATTAACTTCGTGTGATGAAATCTTGGGGCTTGGCTAGAAAGATTTCTGTGCCTTTGGCAGGTAAGTGCCTGCCACAGCCAAGCCCTGTTCCTCTGCACAGAACACGCCCTTCTAAACAAAGCTTGCCTAGGAAAGACCTAGGTTGTGGGAGCGGTGTCTCAGAGAACCAATTCTTTATGCAGGGTATGCTCTTCAGCTGTGGCTCCAAGCTGAACACCATCCAAGTAGCCCTTCTGAAAGAAAAGGGCCATGCCAATAATTTCCTTACAGTGAGTCATATCACTGATCTAACCAGCTCGGTCTTGCCTTGGTGATTAGCAGTAGTGGCTGGCTCTCAGGGTTTGGGGCAGTGCAGTCTTTTCCACCCATACCTGGAGACAGGATCAGGCCAGTCTGCATTCTGTGCTCTGCTACTGAACAAGGGCAGCCACTCACTGTCCTAGAGACTCAGGCGGCTGCCCTGCACCAAGACATACCAACTCCAGCCTCTGTTGACCCAGGTCCATTTTCTCTGGGTTTTAGTTCCACCTGCAGTACTGGAAACTGATCCTTGGGCCCACTGCATGCCAAGTAGATGCAGTCTTAGGGAGGTAAAGCCCTTCCAGCTGCCTGCTGCCTGGTCAGTCCGTAGTCAGGCGGGAGAGGGCAGGCCCAGAACTGTGGTGATCCTCCCCACAGTGGATTTCATGGGGATCCCAGATGGCTTGTACTCCTTCCTTGTTTATACCTGTTTCATTCAGATAGTGAAGTGTGGGGTTCTGGGCCAATTCATCTCCCTCTTCCCCATTTCAATGGGTCCAATGGTGGTTTTTAGAGCAGTTGAGGTGACCTGTCAACTTTCTCTTTAGCCTCTGAATCTCGCTTGTAGAATTGCCTCTGCCTGCCTTGTCTGTGCGTAGGCCCAACCCTAGATATAATCAGCAGAGCAGCCTGTTCTAAATATTTGCTTGGTCCCGTTGAAATTCTGATCTTGCCATCTTTTGGCTGACCTTTTGTGTTTCTGGCAGCTTCTAGTCTGCTTCCCCTTCAGTATAGTATTGATCCAGCCTGTGGCTGAGGCTTGAGGAAAGACACTGAAATGGGCTGCTAAGAACACAGGCAAGCAACTGTGCACTGATGAGGCTGCCATAAGCCTCAGTTATGTGGAAGAAGGTGTAGTACTACAGAGAAATTGCTTTATTCTCTCTCCCCTTTACTCCAAGCTGTTTGAAGGCCGAAGGTATTCCCTATTTAATTCCACCATCCAAAACAGAATAAACATTGAAGTGGGAGGCAGCTCTATGACTTTGACTGCGGAGGATAAGAATTTATCTTATTTAGCTTCTTTGGAATCTCAAGAATTGTAGCAGTTTCTGCTGCTGCCTCCTCCACCTTATAAAATAGAACTTTCTACAAGTGGTGAGAACTTCCATGCATTTTTTGTAAAATAACGGTACAGGGCTAGGAATTATTGTTTAAAATTCCTAGGAGGAGTCAATTAAGGTTGTGTAAGTATCTGGGGTTTTTAAAATGTCTATTAATGCTGAGGCAGATGCGTAAGTAACTTCAGGCTTAGTGCTTATTTTGTGGAAGAGGAATGTCTGGCACAGATGCCCATTTAAGCTACATGGCACATTTCTGTCTACCATACGTTGGGGACAAACGGGAAGCAGTCTTTGAATCCAGCTGGGCAGTGCATATTATCCCGGAGTCCATCTTGTCCTGTGAAGGAGAGAAGCTCTAAAACGTCCCTGGGCCCAGCTTGCTTCCTCCCACTGGTGCTCAAGTGGAGGAGGTCCAGGCTCTGTGCTTTTACAGAAGCGCCTCCTCCCACAAGGACTTCTCTGTTCCCAGGAATCGTAAGATCCAAGCCGCTTGTTGTATCCAGCATCTTTTTCCCACAGCATGCAATCCAATGCATCTAGGAAGCACGTTAAGCAGGAAAGGAGGGCAACAGCACCCTTCTGCTCCTGTTCCCCAGCAAATGAGATGAGAAGCAAACTGTCTCCAGCACAGGAGAGCATCCGTCTAGGTTTGCTTAGCCCTCTTTCAGGCAAGAAAAGAAAACAAGATTTTCCCATGAGGGTGCCCTCATAATAAAATGCCCTCTCTGATGGAGGGCAGGGATTTTGCTCTGAGACTGGACTTTTCAGGGAGCATTTCCTATTGGCTGAGTGGATGTCCTTTTACTGGCTGTATCTCTTTTAGTTAGGAAGATTGCCAAGCATTTCACTAAGGTTTTAATGAAGGCTTTACTTTTTGTTTTAATATGTATGCTAATTTGGCTGGTAGCAGACAGCCAGGAATGTGGCTGATAAATGTGCACATCCATTTAAAAATCTGTGACGTACGTCTGCCCGTGCCACAGGTGCGTGGGTTGCATTGGTGACGTTCTCTCTTGTAGGTGCTGTTCCAAGGAACTGCGTTTTTTTAGCCTGGGTCATCTAGATTTAAATATACTTTTATCCATGCTGCTCACCATCTCCCCTACAAATTATAGTTGCCAATAATTGAAAGCATACAGCGGAGCAATGCTGGTTTTATGTAGAAATCAATCTGGTAGAGTTAATGGCCTGAAGACTGGAATTTGGGCAATAGATTAGGATAGGACGCTGACCAAAATATTAAACGAAAACAATCGGCGACCTGACCGTCAGTGGAATCCCTGCCCTTCCCTGGTCTGGCTGCTTTGCTGGGCTAGTGCTAGCATCTGAAATCGTCTGGCCCGTGTTTGGGACCATGCTGATCCCAACTGCCCTCTTCCTTTCATTTTTGCCCACCATCTGAACCCTGCAGTGACCTTGAAGTAACCCGTGAGATGTTTAAAATATGGCCATGTTCAGGGATCTAGCTCTGCTTTAAGCACTGCAGCCGCTACTGGGTAAGTCGTCCTCGGCTGATTGACAGTAGAGGTCCACTGAAGCAGGCTTTGCCTCTGAATTATTATGCTTGCCATTACTTTTCAGTGACCACATGAGCTAAAACTGAGTTATGGGGAAACAACAGAGATACAAAGTCTACCGTGCCTTAAATAGGCACAGGTGTGCAAAGCACAGACCTAACTATGTTTCTCTATTTTATGAAATTGTGCAGTATATACGTTCATGTATCATCTTTCCTTTCTCAAGCAACATTCATGCCAGGCTGTGGTCCCTTGCACATGTATGGGTGTGTGTGTGAAGAAGCCATGATGAACTTCATAGAACTTGCTGTGAGGAATACAAGCTTGAGTCGTTAGGCTTTTGCCCTTGCTGTAAGACCAATGCTGGCATGGGATAGCATTGCTGCATGTTGATGGTTCTGTCTTTCATATTTACATTTTGGGGTGCTGCACGGTACTCAATCGTTCGCTTTAGCCCCCACCAACAAACTTGAGTTTCCTGCCTCTTCTCTGCTGGGGAGATTTGGGGAAGGATTGGGTCCTAGGAAGTGGGCCTATCCTTCTTCACATCCCTTTTCCTTTGACATGGGATGTGACTGGGAGTAGAAGAATGAACCCATGGTCTTTTTGCCCTGAAGGCAGTTATTATTAAAGCAAATTAGTTGGGGGGGGGAGGGGGTTGGAACTTTTCCTCACCTTCTTAAACAGCAGGAGTTCTCTAGAATTCTCTCCTACGAAAGAGCCTCTTCTACACTTGATACACAGGAATTTGGGGTAAGATACAACCTCTCCTGTCATCTTTCCTGCAGAAAAGTAAAAGAAAAAAACAGTATTTAGTTTTCTACTTCTCAAGAATCTTTTCAAAGCTCAGAAGTGGCTACTGTTAAAGAGGGGAGTTAGCATGCCACACAATTAGATCCTCAGGACATTAGTAGCCTTCTTAAACTCTTATAAAATATATTTGATCATTAAGAATCTCCCAGTTTATAAAACCCTATCCTTTTTGGCAGCCTGGTTTATATATGAATTCAAACTGAAGTACTGCATGACTGGGAAAACATTTTGTGGCTGAAGCTTGGGACACCAGTGGGATTACAGCAAAGGTGAATGTATTGGGAGAGCTGCACAGTGCACTGCTAAATTATTTGCAAGGGCTTAATTAAATCTACAGTTCACTGCTGGGGGATGGATTGAATTCAGTTAATTTAAAAAAAAATAGTGACAAATTCGTGGCAGAGGAAGGGGGCTGTTAAATGGAACTGCCATATTTGGGGCACTGGACAAGTAGGAGGAGAGCAAGATGATCTGCGGACTTACCAAGAAACCTATTGTTGAGTAGCATTCA